CCCAGTAGCATGTGTTGTGTGGTCTGTGTGGGAGAAGGCGCCTCAGCACTTGCTATTCAGAGTTTGGTTGCAGACTCGCCCACACCTGGGAGCAACACGAAAGCTCAGCGCCCACCCCAGCCCCTCTGGACAGCCCCTGCATTTAAATAAGGGCCCCCATGTCATTCGTGTGCACCCAGAAGTCTGAGGGGCACTGGTATCGCCCCAACATTGTTCCTTTCTCTCCGAGAGAACACAGAGAGAACCTTTTGTGAACTAACGCTTTAGAGCTTGAAAATTGATCTCCGGGGCTTGAAATTAGAGTCCCTGAAGCCTTTTCTGCTGGGAGAGGGACTCACCTGGGTTTTCTAAGCTCTTCTTGAATTAATTCCAGAAGTAATTCCCCTGGCATTTCAGCTGCTGTCTCTTCAGTGCTGGTGTCTCTCTCCTGGAGCTTGGCCAAAAAAAAAGGGGGGGGGGGTTGTGGAGGGGGGATTCACTTGGCACACCTCGAATTTCCTAATTGGAAGTTTCAGAATTTTTCATTCTTTTAACCACTTTGTCTTCCCTGTTCCCTGTCCTTCAAAGACAGAGTTTATTGAATTCTAATTTACATCAGATACTTGGGCTCATAATTTAGCCACTAAATGGTGCTTTTTCTTGTTATTTTATCTCTTGCAGTCTTCTGGTGCACTTAGAAATATGTTTCTGATTCATTTAAAAAGAAATCTCGCTCCCTGTTCAGATCTTATATGTCAGAATAAATTATAACACAAATGCTTTATCCTTCGGAAAACATTCAAATCTGTCTGCTACATGGTTGGACAGAATGTTGATTTCATGACTTCTTAAATGTATAACAGAATGTTGATTACTATAGAAAAGAGCAGCTGCTGCTTTACCTTGTGTAGTAAGTACCATGTTTGCTCTTACGCAAGCTTGGAATGTGGCAGGTAAATGGTAAAAGCACATAGACAAGAAACCCTAGAGCCAGCTTGTATAGAAGACAACAGATGCCAGATAATATTGCCATGAGACAACTTTAAATCTCTAAGAAACGGTTTTCTTCTTTTATTGTCCATTTTTAAAAGATATTACATAGAAAGGAATATGACCCTGCAAAGTAAGCAGCTTTTTTTCTGGTGTAAGTTTGTGACTTTCAGATACTAATGGAACCAACTAGAAACATTTTATCTATATAAATGTATGACTAAATATCATTTACAAATTTTAGTATACACAAAAGCTATTCACAGAATTTTATCTTTACTCTTGATTTCCATCTTTGCTAGTGAGTCAAAATACCTCTGAATGTCTCTCCAGCTTCGGTGTGATTGTAATAAGCTATTTTAATTCAGTATTATGTTTTTTGTAACCTCACAAATCGTATGGTATTGTTTGTTCATTTATCCCATCAGAATTTGTTTAGATTTAACCATACTGCCTTTATCATTTATTCTCTATTCCTTCTTCTCAGGTCTTCCTTCTGGAATTATCTTTCCTCTTTAAGTATAGCAGGTCCTCAAATAACATTGTTTTGTTCAATGTTGTTTTGTTATAATGTTGGTGAGATGCTGTAGGAATTTAACTCTTGTTTATATCCATTAGCCTATGGTAAAATTGATAACATTGTTTTGCTTAAAGTCGCAGAATCTATCAATGATGTTGAGGATTACCCTTGTTTAGACAGATTTCTCTACTGAAGGTCTTCTGTTGGTATAACCACTTTTTGCTTCTCTGAAAATGTCCTTATTTTAACAAATAGAGAGTATTGCTGGTTATTCAAACCTAAGATGTCAGATTTTTTTTTTCTTAGCATTTTGAAGATTTTATTTCACTGTCACTTGGCTCCTCGTTCTGTGAAGTAGGTATCTGATGGTGCAATTGCCATTCCTTATGCTCTGACTGCATTTACAATTTCTCTTTCTCTTTGGTGTCCTGTGGTATCAGCATGTGAGTAGGTCTGGGTTTTTAAAACATTCACCTTGCTTGGGATTTCTTGGTCTTCCTGAATGGGATTCATGTCTCTTATTCATTTTGGACAATTCTTACTTAGTGTTATCTCTTTGAATATTGTCTTTACCCAATTCACATCTTTTTAAAACTTTGATCAAATGTATGTTGGACTGTCTCGTTCTATCTTCCATGTCTCTCTCTTTTTTAAAAAAATATATCTCATTTTTATATATATGTATCTCTTTTTTTATTTCTCTGTGCTCCATTCTCAGTAATTTTCAGATCTGTTCTCCAGTTCACTAAATCTCTGTTCAGCTATGTCTAAATTTATGTTTATTATATATTGTATATTGAGTTTTAAAATAGAAATTATTACATATATATTAATTTCTAAATGTTCTTTGTCTCCCCCCCTGTCCCCCCGCCCCAAGTATTTTTGGCCACTTTTCATAGTCTCTTGCTACTTACTCATGTTTTTTGTCCTGTCTTTATTCTTTTTAAATGTAGTAAGATACTTTAAAAAATATATTCCATAATTCCAATATCTGAAGTCTTTACAGATTTGATACTATTTGTGTGTTGTTGTTTTCTCTTTTGGGTGGTTTCTTGACTTTTTCCATAGTACCTTATTTCCTTGTGTTTTATAATTTTAAATTTTGCAATCATTTGTTGGAGTTTTAGCTGCAGAATATTTTGATGCCTGGTTTGAGAGTGTGTTTTTCTAGAGATGATTTATGTTAGCTTGGATAGGTGTTGGAGACCTGGTCCATTTTAAATCATGATTCTCAGCACATACTTTTCTGGACCATACAAATAGAGTAAGTTCCAAACTTGGGGAGACTTTTTGTAAAGTATCTGCACAAAGTCAGTTGCGACCGATACTTTTTCTTGCTGTCCTTTCAGGGATGGGTTGTTTTCGTCCTAATTCATGCTTTCCCTGAGACGGTGGCACTTCCTGGGTCTCTACTTTTTAGAGATGGTCTTCCATTGGTTCTTTCCTTGTCCAGACCCAGCACATGTCCCTCATTTCCTCCATGGCCTAAGCCAGCGATTTTCAACTGGTGTGCTGCAAGAATTTTTAAAACCTGCAATACCTGGCTAAATAGTCAGGGGCCACTGACCTCTTTCCCCTTAGATTGTCAAATAAAAAAAAAATGACAACAGCCAGCACAACAATAGCCATCCTATGTGAATGAGTCAAAGTTATACCTATTGTTTGGTCAGATCTGCAAAAAATAGATATTTTTTGGTGTGCCGTAGAATTTTAATAATTAGTGTGTGTGTGCCATGAGATGGAAAAAGTTGATGGTCGCTGGCCTAAGTGTTAGGCTGCCTGGTCTAGTGTCCCTCTAGGCCAGCGGTTCTCAACCTGTGGGTCGCGACCCCTTTGGCGGTCGAACCCCCCTTTCATAAGGGTCGCCTAAGACCATCCTGCATATCAGATATTTACATTACGATTCATAACAGTAGCAACATTACAGTTATGAAGTAGCAACGAAAATAATTTTATGGTTGGGTCACAACATGAGGAACTGTATTTAAAGGGCCAGAAGGTTGAGAACCACTGCTCTAGGCTACCTGGTGACTTCAGTGTTCGATGACCTCCATAGTTCAGCTCCTGCTTTGCTCCTACACTCAGCCCATGTCCCCTATTGTCTTACAGGCTCATTCAGTCCCATAAGAGGATGTTTTTAGAGATTTATTAACCATAATTAAGTGTTATGAAGTGAGAAGGCTTTGAGCTCTCTAGCCTGCCATATTGCCAGGAATAGAATAGCAATAATTTACTCTTGAAAAATGAAGAGCGAATTCAAGATTATCCCTATACCAATTCACATCCTTGTGTTCGGACAGATTGTCTGGATGAGTGAGAGGAGGATGTTGCCATGAGTCCTGATAGCTGCTTAGTCCCCAGCCTGTGCTGCAGTGGACGCTACCCTCTGCCCTGGGCCTTGCTCAGGGGCCTGGGCCACCACATGTCCCGCTTCTCTGAATCAGAGGTGGAGACATATAAACTGCTGACATGATAATGAGAGCTGTCACGAGGGCAGGGAATACCAGAGTTTGAGAGGATAAGATGCTTTTGGTACATATCAGAACTTGGTCCTAAGAGACCACTCATTCATTCATGTAACAGACGCTTATTGGCCCTTGCATTATGTAAGGGAAACAGATCCACTGTCCCTGTCCTCATGAAGCTCACCGTGCAAGGAGCAGACCGTTCATTTCACTGGGGCACGATGAGGGCTATGAGAGTAGAAGGTAGGGAGAGGTACTAACCCAACTTGAGGAGGGAGGGTGGTATCTATGCTGCATCTGCAGGACTAGGAGGCATCGCCAGGGGTAGAGCCAGGGAAGGGCATTCCAGGCAGAGGGACAAGAATGTACCAAGTACTGAGCCAGAGAGAATTTGGTTCAGGCAATTGCAGGCAGCTCATTTGGCCAGAGCATAGTCGGGAAGGCGTGAACCTGGAGCAGGGAGCCGGAAGAGCTGAGCCTGGAGGTCGCCTGAGGCCTAAATGATGAAGGCCCTCTAACCAGGAAGCTGTTGAACTATCTTACCTGGGGAGTGAGGGAGGCTGTCAGAGTTGCTGTGTTCATTTCTCTCGAGAGCCAGCCCTCCGGAAGAGAAAGAGCATGGGCTTGGCGTGAAGGCAGGAATCTTCCAGTCCGATTCCAGCGCCACTCTGTCCGGGTGGGCATGGCATGCACTTAATTTAGGCACCTCCTCTGAACCTCTCTTTCGAGAGAACGGACTAGACAATTTCCCAAGGCCTCCTCCATCCCCAGCATTCTGTGGTGACATTAGAAAGTAAGAGGAAAATGCCATTGTGTGCACACACACGAGCTTAAGCAAAGCCGGAGCTCAAATGTGTGAGTATTTGCAGATGTTACCCTGACAGTAATGCTGGCGGTTTCTGGCTTCCAATTAGCTATCTAACTAACGTCTGTGAATTGTGGGTATTCACAGCGAGTGGGTATCGGCTCAGAGGGTGGATGTTTATATCAGAAGGTGAGCAGTGTGACTGGCCCGGCAGCTGACCCAGCGTTTGTTTGCCTTGTAGACGAGCTCTCTCTGGAGCAGCACAACCTGTCTTCGCCCTCCGCGGAGCACCCGCTGAAGGAGAGCGCCGCGCACAGCACTGCACATGTGGCCTTAACGGAGGCTGCCCCAGGGTCCCAGCCGAGCAGTCCTCCCCACCTCATGTCCTCTCCATCCGCTGCTACTTTTGATACAGCCTTTTTTAACCAAGGAGAACTGACCCCAAGTACAGCAGATCACAGCATCTTTGTGGCAAATTCCGTGTCAGTGACGAGCAACGAAGTGGTCATAGATGACGATGAAATGGATAACTTTTTGCCAGAAACTCAGTGGGCCACCTCCCACGTGGTCTCTCCGATACAGTACGTCACAGTCAGCCCCCCGGGGCTGCCCGAGGAAACAGCAGACTCCGTGCTGACGCCACCATTGCCCACTGTTCCTTCACAAGATGAAGAAGTGACATCCGCCTGGCAAGACACAATGCAACAACCGACAACGTGTGCTGAGTCCCCCAGTCATTGCAGTGTTTTCCCGTCAACTTTTCTCGCTTCCGAGGCCATGATTCCAACCCCTAGTAGGAATTTGGTGCTTTATCCTACTGACCCTTATGGACGCTCATCAAGCAGGACTTTGCTGGAGGTCGTGGCTTCAGGAACAGAGGGCGTAGAAACCCTCCTTTTTAGCTCCACATCTTCAGTGCCTCAGCCGTCAGGCGATGGCCTCACTCAGCCATTCCCCCACACGGGGGAGGCCTCAGCGCCTCCAGAGGGTGTTCTGGCCCCGGGTTCAGACAGATACCCTGATGGGACCACTGCTTTGAGTCAGAGTCTAAAAGAAACCATCTCTCCAAGAACATCTCCAACTGCAACTACATCCCAGACGGCCCTTGCTTTTAGCAGCAGCTGCAGCATAAACTCAGCTTTGTTTTCAAGTCCTCCTGCATTTGTGTCCTTTTCTACTCGGTCAGCTGATGTTTCATATGACCCCGTTCTTCCTGGCAATTCCAGGGAAGCATCCGAATTGCCTGGCAGTTCAGTGGTCCCAAACCATGCGGACGACACTCCTGTCTGGAGCCCAGCGTCTCCACTCAGACCGTACACGTGGTGCGGGTCCTGCTCTATGGCATCACCGCGGCACGTTCTGTCCACGAGCCTCGTGGAGAAAGACGGGGGCTCAGGGGACAGTGCTGAGACCATGACCGTATGGGAAGCGAGCAGCATCCCTCCACCAAGCAGCATCTCTCCACCGAGCAGCATAGCAGAGGACTTCTCTGAATTGGAGGGAGATCCTCAAGAATATAACCTACTTTTCCCCTCAAGACCAATAGTTCCACTTTCTTCTCGGTTTGTGGAAATCTCAGGAGCAAGCATGGGTCTTTCGGCCGAGGCGGACAGGAGGAGCATCAGGATCACACAAGCGTATCCTTCCCACGGCCCCTCCCCGCCAGTGTCACTCGATCCTGCTTCCTCTGGCTCCGTCTCTGCCATTGAAACTCAAGTAATGCCGCCCAGTGTGACAGCTGTGTTTCCCTCGGCCGTCCCTGGTGTTCTCCTCGACTCGTCTTTCTCCATCACGGCCGACGAAAACACGCCATCACTTGCTTCCGGAGACCCGACGCCTTTTACGTCTTATGGTTTGGAGCCTTCCGTAGAGGCTCCGCTTTTCCCTGCCCGAGAACCCGCCAGTGTTTCCCAACACGAAACCAGAAGTACTTCGGGGTTTGCATCCAGCTTTTCCTCAACTCCACCGCTGGGATTCAGCAGCTCGGCCCCTTTGTCTTCAGAAGGACTTGCGTCTCCATCTCCGATGTCAAGTGACGTGTCGACCATCCTTGCTCAGGCCTTTCCCACCTTGGTCGAGACGCTTACATTGTCCGACTCTCCCAATCTGCAGTCGCCTCCGCTCTCTGTTCCTAATTCCACAAACCTTGACTTTTCTCAGCTCTGGCCGAGCTCACAGCTCCTGTTAAGTGCATCCACGTTTCTACCTAGTTACTCTGAAATGTCACTTCTCTCAAGCTTCTACTCCACGTCTCTCACGCTCTCTGAAGCAGCCGCCGTTTCACCGGCAGATTCTGAAGCTCGTTTTACCTCAGTTTTCACGGAAACTACCTCCTATTTTGAGTTTTCACTTGTGCCCCACGAATCTGCGGTCCCCACTCGGGTGCCCTCCAGCTCTGAGCCCATCCTTGACATTTCAACTGCTGGAGCGCACTCAGCGTCACTTCTGACTGCTTTTCAGACAACACCCCCTGTAACGGAATCATCCCTCTTTTCAACTCCAGCGCCTTCCGATGGGGATATCAGTGCGATGGATGATCACGCGTCTGTCTTACCCTCTTTCTCCACGGTCATTCCTATCACCACAATATTGGTCATCGCCGTGTCCCCGTCCTCAGCATCCTCCGCTGTTTCTGAAGTGGTCCCCTCACCTGTACCTACAGATTCTGTATTTGTGGGCCCATCGTTCACACCCACAGATTTGCCGATGAACACAACCACTGAACTGAGCACATCTCCTGCCAGCACTGCCCCTGACGATGCTGTCGACATCCTCCTGAACAGCACCCCTGAGAGTCAGAATCCCCACGAGAGCAGCACAGTCCTCCCCTCGCCATCCCTTCACCCTGTGTCCACCTCCACTCCCGAGGCCGTGGTTACTACTCCGGCAGTGGTCACCACCAGGCCGCCCTACGTGTGCGATATCACAATTCCTGATGCCTATTTGATCACAACTGGTAAGGCCCTGCTTCCTCCTCTCTTTTGGTCGGGGTGATCTTTCTAAGATGCTGTTTGAAATGCTTATGGGATATGTAGCATCCTGGCAAAGCGTGTAGGCTTTAGGCCAAGCGATCTCTTGGGTTAGTAATCCTCGCTCCTTTGCTGACCACCTGTGAGTTCTTCAGTTATTTAGCTTCTCTAAGCCTCAGTTTCCCCAGTGATTAAATAAGGATGATACTGGCACCCACTGCATTGTAATGCATAGAAAATACTCAACCCAGTGCCTGGCATAAGGAGCACCCTCAAAATATGTTATTGTAGTTAGTAGTAGCAATAAGAATAAATAAAAGATTTAAACCTTAGAAGTTTTGCTAGGATATGTGTCTCTGGAACTCATCACCCATGCTTCGAAGTCATGGTTGCAACAAACATGAGTGACTGGCCAACAGGCGGCTGCCTGTCCCATGAAGCCGTGTACGTTTGCTGCCATGTCTGTGCCAGTCTAGTGACCGGGCCTGCGGGACCAGGCTCTCTGACTTGTTCCTCATGAGAAATGACAGCGCGTGCATGAAGGCTGTGAGCCATGCATATGTACTTATATACAATGTACTGTTGATGAGCAGCTGTGTGTGTGTGTGTGTGTGTTGACTTTGATGGGGATGACGGGTAGAAATGAACCAAGGGGAATAAGATGGCAGGAGAGGTAGAGGAGCAGTGGAGTGGACAAGGAAGGGAGGAACAGGGAGAGGTGGAGGTGGGGAGGGAGGAGAACATGCTGGGTCTTGGTTCTCCAGGCTGAGTGACGGGAGCCCTGTGTCCTCTGCTCACCCTGGGGGTGCTGCCACCCTCTGAGAGGGTTGGAGGTAGCTGAAGCCTTCGGTCTCCCAACTCCGCCCTCCCCAAATGAGGCAGCCATTTGTTCATTCACGTGACAAGTAATGATGGAGCACTGAGTGTGTGTGAAGTACTTTTGGAAGGTTCCGGGATATAGAGATGAATGGCTTGGTCCCATCCCGCAAGGTGCTTAGAGTCTAGTGGGGCGGATGCTGAGCCACATTTCCTTGGCCGCTGTGTTGGGAATGGCTGAGGCAGAGTTGTAGAAGAGTGACTATTTGGGATAATCAGGGACGGGTGTGGAAGAATGTGAACTGGAGGTCACGTTCAAGGATGAGTGAAAGGCTGTCACCTGAAGATGGAAGGAAGTGTCCTTCAGGTTGAGAGTGTGAACACGGGGAGAGGTCGGACAGCCCAAGGACATTCAGCTTGGCTGGTAATTAGACGGAGGTAATAAGGCGGGAAAGGAGGTTGGGACAAAGTGGTGAACTTATATTTTCGGGACTCCAGTCCTCCAGAGGAAAGAGAGAAGAGTTTCTAACAGACATGATACTTTCCTTCCTTCCTACAAAATTGTTGCACAGTAGCCACAAAGTGGACAGTTACAAGGAGCTTATTAAAATAACTACTGAAAGCTTATTTATCTCTGGGATTCTATGAAATTTATGATACTTTTTAGTGTATCTTTTAGAATTTATTATTCTACAGATAATTAGAAACCATTTTAGAAATACCACTAAGAATATCAAATATATGTAGCGTGGATTAACTTTCATATGACATACATTTAATGAGTTTGATGTCCTTTGTTAGGGATCCATGTATTTTAAAAAAAAGTTTTTATTGACTTCAAAGAGAGGAGGGGGAGAGGGAGTGAGAGAAAGAAACATCAATGATGAGAGAGAATCATTGATCAGCTGCCTCCTGCACGCCCCCTACAGGGGATTGAGCCTGCAACCTGGGCATGTGCCCTGACCGGGAATCAAACTGTGACCTCCTGGTTTATAGGTCGACCCTCAACCACTGGACCACACAGGCTGGGCAGGGATGCATGTACTTTTAATAGTGTAAAATTCACGCATTGTAAATGTACACTTGAACCGTTGTAGTAAATGTGCAGAATTGTGCAGAAGTGTCCACTCTGTTACGTGGTATTTTTTAAGTGGAGATGAGTGCCATCTTTCGCTCTCAGTGATAATTGTAACTCACGGAAAGTGTCCTCTCATTTAGGATCTTCATTTAGATTTGAACCTGGGTTTTTTGTTTGTTTTCTTGTACTTATGTATCAGAGAAAAAGAGGGTTGAGGTGATTCTTTGTCCTCTGGAAGGGTTCTTGTTAGAGAGCTCTGTAATAAAAGTAAGAGTAATCTCTAATTTCCATGGGTTCACGATGGACTCGTAGGAAGACACTGACCACACGTATCCAGTATGGGGTGAGGCTGCCCTTCTCACCCAGGGATGGCCCACCCCAGGCCTCCTCAGGAGCTCTTTCTCATCTCTAATGGCTCTGAGGAATTTGGAGACACCATAAGGTCTTGGTTGATAATCCTTTTTTCCCAAAGATTATTGAACTCATATCGGAATGTTGCAGTTTTAGATCTTACTCTGATTAATTTGAGAAGATGGAGGGTATGGTGGTGGGTAATGGGGACTATTCGGAGTAATACAACAGCACCTTGAATAACGTCGTTTTGTTAGGACATTTATGAGATGCTGAAGGAACTTGACTCTTGTTGAACATGAGACCTCCATGCTCTCTGCCCCCGGCTGGGCGACGGAGTCTGATTCCTGGTCTCACCCACTGAGGCAAGGAGTGAAGGGTTTTCTTAGCATGTCGAGCTGATGCTGTGCATGGTTGACCTGGTGACCTGGTGGTGCCTTCAAGGTCCACTATGTTCTTTCCTTGTCGGGGCCTTATTTACAAAACGACTTTTGGAGCCACTACCACGCTTTGGCACAGCACTGGCTCTGCCAGGGGCCCAGCAGTGGGATGACACTAACCTGGTGTGGGTGTTGGCTTCGATCTGCAGTGCTGGCCAGAAGAGCCGTGCAGGAATACATCATTACGTCCATCAAGGAGGTGCTGAGGATTCACTTCAACCGCGCCGTGGAGCTCAAGGTGAGGGTTGTATTGGCAGAGTTGGAACAAAGGGGCTCCAAGACCAGAGTTTGGGGTGATGACCCTAACGATTGTGCTTCTGTTGATTTACATGAAAGGACTGGGAGTAGAGTTTAAATTAGATTTTAGAGAGAGTGCCTATCCATGTGTCTGTACATTCAGTGAGACAGGTAAATTTCCAGATGTCTTATGGTGGATACTGTGCTAGTGCCTCCTCTTCCCTCTTGAGCTCTGATGCCACACTGAGACCCCTCACCTTCCCAGGGGGAGCCACGAGCCACAGGTGGCTACTGAGCAAATGAAATGGGGCTGTCTGAATTGAGGTGGACTGTCAGTGACAAATACCATGGGATTTTAAAGACTTAGTGAAAAAAGGAACGTAAAATATCTCACTAATAATTTACATTGAAATGATATGTCAGATGTCTTGGGTTAAGTAAAATGTCTTTAAAATTAATTTCACCTCTTTCTATGTTTTTTTAATGTGGCTCCTAGAAGCTTTACAATTGCATATGGGGCTCACATATTTCTTTTGGACAACACTGCTCAATAGGATAACTATTTCTTTATATGTGGGTTAAACACAGCAAACACTTTGAATTCTCCATAACTCCTTATTCAGTTCATATTGCTGGCTATTCTTTCTCATTGTCCTTGCTCTTGTAATTCTGTGCTATTTTTGAGAAGGATAGCAGATGTGCAAAAGTAATTACTAAAATAAAATTTTGAATGTCTGTGAAGCACTAGCCCTTCGTTTAAAACCAGCTATTTATTTTTTTACATTACTTTATTATTTTTTCTGTTCAGTACAATTTCCTGTACATGTGGTTGATGGTAATTTGGTTAGATAATTTGATAATTATTATCTTTTGTCTTCTTTATTTTCATAGGTTTATGAACTATTCGCTGACTTCACTTTTCTGGTAACATCTGGTCCTTTCGTTTACACGGCAATATCAGTCATAAATGTGCTTATAAACAGTAAACTTGTACGCGACCAAACTCCTTTAATCCTGGCTGTGAAACCTTCCTTCCTTGTGCCTGAGTCCAGGTTCCAAGTTCAAACGGGTGAGCACACTGTCCATAATTGTTTTGACTTGTAAATAGAATTTCACTTTTTTTTTAGAAGTTTTTTTTTTAATTTGGGGAAGATTTTTAAAAATTTATTTAAATTTTCAAAACTATTATTATGGAAAATTTCTAGCATATACAAAAGTACACAGAATAGTTTAATGAATCCTTGCACCTCTCATATGGTTTCAACAATTTTCAACTCCTTGTTACATCCACACTCCCATCTACATCCCCTCCTCTCACATTATTTTGTGTTTTTTTTTCCATTAAATTTATTGGGGCGACATTTGCTAATAAAATTATAAGTTTCAAATGTACAATTCTGTGATATATTATCTATATATTGCATTGTGTGCCTACCACCTAAAATCAAATCTCCATCCATCACCCCTTTATCCTTTGCTACTCTCCAACCCCCTTTCCCTCTGGTAACTGCCATGCTGTTGTCCGTGTCTATGAATTTTGTTTATCTGTTCTTCTTGTTTGTTGATTTGTTGCTTTCAGTTTTATATCCATATGAGTGAAATCATGGTTCTTGACTTTTTCTGTCTGACTTATTTCTGAAATACTGCCATTTGTGACAACATGGATCAGTCTTGAGAATATCTCACATTATTTTGTTATGACATCATATCATCTCATTCATAAATATTTCAGCCCATGTCACGAAAAGAGGATTAATAAACATATATACATAAATACATGTACATACACACACATACATGTATCCATATATCCATATATACATCATATACATATATCTGTCAATATCATTATCACACTCCCCAAAGTTCACAGTAGTTCTTTACTATCATGTTTAACTTTTTATTATGGACATTTTTCAAACATACAAAAATAGAATAACATATTAAGCCCACATATGACCATCACTAAGCTTAAGAAATTATCAACATTTTCCCAAGTTTGTTTCATCTATCTCCCATACATTTTTTTGAGGAAGGTAGAGTGTTTTAAAGCAATTCCAGATATCATGTCATTTTCCCATAAATACTTAAGAATTCATCTCTAATTCATATATATTTTGAAATGTTTCAGTCAGTTGTTAAATATTTTCTCATTTAAAAATGATAACGTCACCTTCACATTGCATATTTTTGTTTGTAGCAGAGATGGCTTTCTGCAGTTCCATGACATAGACATAAAAAATAACACATCGTAGAACTTAACCCTGTTTATGGATGAATTAGTTGATTTAGATACTATTTCTCCCTCTCCTTACTCCTTGATACTAAAGAAATGCCTCGTTCATGGGCCTGTGATTTCTTTCAGTCCTTCAGTTTGTGCCTCCGAGCGTGGATACTGGCTTCTGTAACTTCACCCAGCGCATCGAGAAAGGCCTGATGATAGCGCTCTCCGAAGTGAGGAAACACCACCAGGGCACGTATAACCTCACAGTGCAGGTGAGAACAGCACTGGATGCAGAACAAGGTGCTTTAGCCTTTAAAGAGGCTAGTTTTATGTTTCGTTGGAGCTGCACTTAACCCTTGTTAATTCCCTCCAGTGGAGGAAATTCCATTCACGTGGATCTGGGTTGATCTCTTTTCTTGGCATTGGAGTAGCATAACCAGGGAGCTCAGATCTGGTGAGCTGAGGAGAGATGAGTATATGCAGGAGATTCAAGAATGTTTTAAAAAGGAACCATATCAACCTGTAGCATATCCAGTGGGGGTAATGCCTAAATAAACTGTTGTTCCCTATTGTGGCATACCAGGAAGGCAGTGCTTCCCTGAAAAACAGAGAGGCTAGCTACTGATCAAAGAACAGGTGTTGTATGTATTATATGGAAACTGCTGATATTTTTCTATTTCTTTGATATTTTTTCCTCCAACTTCTTTGTGTTCTCTTTCTGGAATTCGTAGTAAATAGATTTTGGTGCTCCTGGGTTCACTTTTCATACTTCTTATATTTTTAATATCTTTTATAATTCCCTATTTTTACAGATTTTCTAAACTTTGTCCTCCAGGTCATTCGTTTACTCTTCAATTGTGTTTATTATGTTACTCAATCTCTCTATTGAATTTTCTTTCAGCCATCACTTTTTCATTGTTCTTTGCTCCTTTGTAAAATTTTTTTATTTCAGTTTTTCCTGCAGTGATGCAGGATTCTCTCATATGAGGATATAATGTCACCTTGAAAGTCTCTGAGAACATTAGAGTTTTTTAAAAGTTGTCTTTGGGTTCCATTCCCGGTCAGGGCACATACCTGGGTTGTGGGCTTGATCCGATTTATTATTCTCTCTCATCATTGATGTTTCTCTCTCTCTCTCTCTCTCTCCCCCTCCCTCTCTTCCTCTCTCCCCCTTCCTCTCTGAAATCAGTACAAATATATTTTTAAAATAAAGTTGTCTTCTGTTTGCTGGGTTATCTTTATTTTCTTTGCAGCCATTGTACTGTGTCAATCTTGGCTCTTTGCTTTCGTGCTATCAGTTTTCTGTAAATGCCTGGAGACCATTGGTTGGTTGGTGTTGGAATGAAGGAGCAGGTGGTTAATTTTGGCAGCTCATTTGGCTTTCCCCTTCCGCTGTTGGGTCTGTTTCTCTGTCACCCTTGTGTCCCGATGGGAGATTCAGTGGAGCACTGGGCACTGGGCAGACCCTGTTGGTGGTGGGCTTCTCTCTGGGGCCATGAGTGGTCAGAGACAGCAGACTGGGACCCCTGCCACCAGTGCAAGATAAGGAAGTTGTGCCCGGGGATGGAGCATGTTTGTATTTTTCAAGGCAGAGCTGCTTTTTCTTTCATTGTCTCTCCTTCTTTGTCTCTTGTGAACACTACCCACCCCTTGCTTAGGGTTCTGACCATCGGTAAAATCTCTCGGTCTTCTCAGGCAGGGAGCTCATTGTCCTTAGGGAGCAGTGCTTTGAGCTATTTTGGTGGAGACGTGGCTGCTGTTAGCATCTCTGTGTTGGCCTGGGTGTGGCTATTAGAAAGGAAAGAGGAGGGAGGAAATTGACTGGGCTCCTGGGCACACCGCCTTTAATTAATTATGGCAGCAGACTCTGGGTTCTTCTGGATCCCAACTGAGGAGCCTGAGCCTGTGTGTGTTCTGGGTCTTGCTTGGTCACTCCGTTCTAGTTTATAGCAGCATGATCCCATCCTCTCCATTTTCCAGAAATCTGACAGAATCTCAGGTTTTCTTCCATTCTCAGTGCTGTTATGGACTTACACTTCTTTGTTCAGCTTTATTGTTCTTTCTGTGGATCTAGGATGGGAGGGGGAGAGGAAGGGACTATAGATACATGTGCTCAGTTCATCACTTAATGTAAAAAACATTTTCACTATCCTGAGGATTTAAAGTATTGCAAAAGGGAACCAGGCCATTGAAACCCGTTACTCTTCCTTTAAAAATGTTCCCTCTTTTTTTTTTTAAACCCTCATCCAAGGATATGTTTATTGATTTGGGCGGGGGTGGAGGGGAGAGAGAGAGAGAGAGAGAGAGAGATGAGAGAGGTGAGAGAGAAACATCACTCAGTTGCCTCCTGTACACGCCCCCTACTGGGGATTGAACCCACAGCCTAGGTATGTGTGCCTTGACCAGGAATTGAACCTGCAACCTTTTGGTGTACCGGACAATGCTCCAACCAACTGAGCCACATGGCTAGGGCCAAAAATGTTCCCTCTTTTTGGGGGGGAAAAAAAATCAAGAGAAATTATAGTCAAGCTTTCAGCGGTCTGTTTTCATTTATTTTAGAAACTGCTTTTGACTTCCTTCTTTCAGATCTTGAATATCACTGTGGGCTCTCCCAGGGTGGCGCCTCGCCGGGGCCCGGTGAACATCGTCTTTGCTGTTAAAGGCACGCAGGGGTTCTGGAATGGGACGCAAGTGAGCGAGCTGCTCAGGAACTTGAGTGTGGTGGAGTTCAGTTTCTATCTGGGGTACCCGGTGCTCCAGATCGCCGAACGTGAGTACTGCTCTCCTGGACGGCGCTGGGAATGCGGCTGCGAGCATTTTGTTGGTGGCCCGCTTTTTCTCGAATGAAATGTTTAGCTGAAATCTAGAATATAAACCAGATACCTTTGGAACGTCTCAGAATCAAGCCAGGGTGGGCCTCCAGAGCCCTCCTCACCCCGGGCCTCAGTTTTTTTCTCTGTTGAGAGGAATGGAGTGCTATTAAAGATTAGGCCAGTTCTGCAAGAGGTGAAAAGAGGGTGGAGAACAGATCGCTGGTCGCCAGGGGTGGGGGGTGGGAGGAAAGCTAGATCACAAAAAGGGTAGCAGGAGGCAATTTGCGGGGGGAGGGCGATGAGATTGTTCTACATCTTTATTGTGGTGGTGGTTACATGACTCTATGCATTTGTCAAAGCCCGTAAAACTAGACCCCAAAAAAGAGTGAGACTTAAACAAACAAAACAAAACTTTTCTTCCTGGCAATTAGATTCACAGTGCAAATGGAGGGGGTTGGGGGTGGAAGAGACATTTACTTCCAAAACAAAAAAAGCAGTAGATTCCAGAGTTGAAATCAGGCCAAAAAAAACACACACAAAAATTCAAAATGAAACAGCCAAATGGTCTAGTGATTCTTCATGTATTTAGTGTACTGTTAATTAAATGGGGGTAGAATAATATGCTGGATGATAGGTGGACGCCAGGCCCTTCCCATGCAAGCCAGCACAAGGGTCGCTTGGCCCGGAGTCACTGCTGGGGAACCCAGGGCCCTGAGGAACACAGTGTGAAAACTCACTGCTCTGGACCAATGGCTTTTCAAGGGGATCATGTGGGTGATCCTGGGACGCGGTGTCCCACGATGTCACTGGAGCAAGCCCTTCATTTCATTTTGTCCCTCTTTCTCCGTGAAACTAATGTGCTCTGAGACTGCTCACTGTCCGAGGGCGATGAGATTGTTCTATATCTTTATTGTGGTGGTGGTTATATGACTCTATGCATTTGTCAAAGCCCGTAAAACTAGACCCCAAAAAAGAGTGAGACTTAAACAAACAAAACAAAACTTTTCTTCCTGGCAATTAGATTCACAGTGCAAATGGAGGTGGTTGCGGGTGGAAGAGACATTTACTTCCAAAACAAAAAAAGCAGTAGATTCCAGAGTTGAAATCAGGCCAAAAAAAACACACACAAAAATTCAAAATGGAACAGCCAAATGGTCTAGTGATTCTTCCTGTATTTAGTGTACTGTTAATTAAATGCTAAAGGATAACTTGTCAAGTGAAGCAGTAGACAGGGACATAATCGTTATTTACATCGAGCAACTTTCAGCTGTGTGTGTGACGATGGGGGTAGAATAATATGCTGGGTGATAGGTGGATGCCAGGCCCGTCCCATGCAAGCCAGACAAGGGTCGCTTGGCCTGGAGTCACTGCTGGGGAACCCAGGGCCCTGAGGAACAGTGTGAAAACTCACTGCTCTGGAGCAATGGCTTTTTAAGGGGATGGTGCGGGTGATCCTGGGACGCGGTGTCCCACGATGTCACTGGAGCAAGCCCTTCATTTCATTTTGTCCCTCTTTCTCCGTGAAACTAATGTGCTCCGAGACTGCTCACTGTCCACACCTTCACACCAGTCGGGCATTTTCTTCTTCCATATTTAGTGCTCAATCACATAGGAAAGGCAGTCCCTTGTGACTTACCCGGTGTTCCCTTTCTGACTGTGGCAAGCATGTTTTTTACAGATTGGTCTCCTTCCCTAACCTTTCCTTTTTATAGCCTTCCAGTACCCGCAGCTCAACCTGTCTCAGTTGTTGAAGTCCTCGTGGGTAAGAACAGGTATGTGTAACGTGACACCATATTTTGGGCACTGTAATAAGAAGTCTGTGCAGGGATATTAAGAATGATACCGCCTTTCCTGTTTCTCAGTCCTAAATTCAGGGCAAAGTGTACCTTAAATTCTTGGCAAAGAATGAATGAGAAAGGGATTCAGATTTGACTGTGGAACGTGTCCCACTGAGTTATGGCCCAAAAAGGGTTGGCTCCCTCTAAAATTCATATATCAAGTCCAGGGCAGTCTAACAGGAATTGACAGTATTCTGACCCAGAATAGGACGAGGTTCTGAAGCAAGGATCTTTTTTGTTTTTTTTCTTTCTTTCTCTAAAAGTCTTATTTGTTTGGTTTTATAAGGACAAGGAAGGTAACTTGGTGAGCAAATAAGAAGCCTTTTTTAAAGACTTGGAGACCTGGGTCAGATATTTACAGCTATTGCATTGCCAAATGAGACTTTCTCACCTGGTTATACAAAAGTGTAAGAGGTAGTAACCTGCTCATTGGTGCCCAGTGTGTGAGCAGCGCCGTGAGGAACTAGTCATGGGAGGAAGCACATAGGTGGTGACAGTCACCATTTTGCGTTCCCGTACCTGCCAGTCCTTCCTGCTTCACGTACAACATTCCATGGAAAGGCCCCACCTCTGCCTGGTACCGTGGCCTCATTTTCCAGATGGTTTTCATAGCGGTTCAGTGACTTGCCCATGGTCCTGTCTCAGGGGATTTGAGCCAGTGCTGGCTGAACAGAAAATCTGGCAGATTGTCTGCTTAGATAATCTTGTTTACAGCAGATGTCTGAAGACAGGCACCTTATCTTGAGTCAATTTTATGAGACAAGATATGAACTTAAACCATTTCCAGAAATCTTGAAAATAAGTGCAGTCAAAATGTTTGATCTTGTGCAGGCCCTCTTAGCCGCCGAGCCCCTGTGCATTGCTGAGTTTCTGGGACTTCTGGCCACCAGTCCTTGTAGCACGTGGAGCTGGGAACTGTAGACAAGACCCGTGGGCAGCACTTCCGGGATTCTCCCTCGCTTTCCCCCTTTTTAATGTCTCCTCTCTAGGGCAGCGATTTTCAACCTGGGCGTCGCAAGAATTTTTAAAACGCGCAGCACCCATGCTATTTAGTCAGGGGCACTGACCTCTTTTCCCTTAAATTGTCAAGTAAAAAACTGACAACAGCCAACACAACAATAGCCGTCCGGTGTGAATGAATCAAAATTATACTAATTTTTTCTTTCAGATTGCCATATTGCAGAATTTTAGTAATTAGTTTATGTGTGCCATGAGATGAAAAAGGTTGAAAATCGCTGCTCTAGGGATTGGCATTCTACAGTAACCCTATGCTACTTTCTCTTATACACTCACCCGTTTTTTCTGCCACCGCTAACTCACTGAGGGGCCTGCGTGTGTTTCCATTTAAATGCAGTGCTCCTGGGCGTCGTTGAGAAGCAGCTCCAGAATGAAGTGTTTCAAGCTGAGATGGAGCGCAAACTGGCCCAGCTGCTGAGTGAGGTTTCCACCCGGAGGCGGATGTGGAGAAGGGCCACCGTGGCTGCCGGGAACAGCGTGGTGCAGGTACCCAGGGAGGCCAGGGGAGGAGGGGAGGAGAGAGAGCAGGCTAACACTGTCCCATATTTTCATGCAAAGGAGAAAATTCTGATTGAGGTGGATTGCTATAGTAAGGTGGCAACTGAATGGGGTAGCATTTCAGTTCAACTAGAGTCTAGACAAATATTTCCTGAGTCCTCAGTAAGTGGTCGGTACAGGAATGGACGTTATGGGGAGCACAGTGGAAGAATTGTGTAAGTGGATTGCCATGCCATCAGATGACCTTATTTTTCAAAAAGTAATTTTTTAATATCCAGAATGTAATCAGTTGTAGAATGGTAATGTTACTCATAGCATCGTAGAGAGAACCATTCATCGGGAACAGGCCATAAGAGATCGGAAAGAGGAAAATGTTCTGCCCTCTATTCTAGCCCCTCCTCCTGCCCCCCCTGGTTGTCTCATATTGCTCAAATGTTCTTCACCCTGTAACTTGGCAGAGAGGTTACAAATGACAGATTCATTTGAGTCAAAAAGTGACCCATTTTAAAGTGCACAGGCTCACAGTGAGTTGGAGGTTGGGGCTGAGGTATATTCCATCTCAATGTGCATTAATGTTATTTTGGATTTTTCCTTTACCAACTGCTGCTTGTAGAGCTAGGAAAATGGGATATTTAGAACTGTGGCATTCCAGACAGGAAGCCAGGGTGGAACCCAGACAGGTCGGGGTGGGGAGGTTGATGGTTTAGGAGCATTAGAGAGAAGAATGGAGAACTGATGCTTGGGTTGGTGGGGGATTGTTGGCCTAGAGCTAGCATCATTGTCCCCCAACTCGTTTACCAGGTTTCCCCTGTAAGCATTGCTCTTTATTTCCCCTCCCACAGAGGTGGTGGTTAGGTTTCTAAAATAGTTCCTTTGCCAGATGCAATAGAATATAGAGGAACTTGCCCTAGCCGGTTTGGCTCAGTGGATAGAGCATTGGCCTGCGGACTGAAGGGTCCCGGGTTCAATTCCGGTCAAGGGCACATGCCTGCATTGCGGGCTCGGACCAACATGCAGGGGGCAGCCAATCAATGATTCCCTCTCATCATTGATGTTTCTATCTCTCTCTTCCTCTCCCTTCCTCTCTGAAATAAATAGGTATGTATTTTTAAAAAATGGAAAAATATCCTTGGGTGAGGATTAAAAAAAAAAAAAGAATACAGAGGAACTTAAAAACTAATAAAAATTGAGAGTAATATTACAGTAATTAATATAACTATAAAACAAATAAATATATGTGAATATAAAATAAATAAAAATGAAAATAAATTATAAAAGGTTGGCCTTATTCAGTAACCTTGGCTTCACAGAACTCAAGGTCTGGGTAGAGGTTAATAAATGCACATAATGCAGTTATAGAGCACCATCAGATGACATGATGAGGTGCTACATTAGATTGGAAGGCTCCATAAGGAATATTGGATTTGTGAACATTAACCAAGCTACCCCATGGTAACGGTGCCATCTGATGGGTTGCTTAGAAACCGTGCCCTGCTTCTCATCTACATTTGAGACAAGGACTTATGTGCAGAGCACAGGACTCTTCAGACATGTTTGTAAAAGTGAAAGTATTAAACAATCTAAATGTCCAGCATCTGGGGAATGGGTAAATAAATTGTCGTGACTTTTTGTATGTTGGAATATTGTGCAGCCATTGTCATTTTTTGAATTAGCAATATAGAAAAATCTTCAAGTGAAGAGAGGCTATAAAAGAATGTATGCAATTTAATCCAAATGTTAATGTAAAACCCATGGAAAAAATTAATGGAAGGAAATATGCCAAAATATTTACAGTGATTTTCTTTGGTTGAATTTGAGGTGATTTTCATTTTATTCATTATATATTTTTCTTCGTGCTTTTCGAAATTTCTCCAGTGAACATGTGATTTTAATCAGAAAATAATTTTTATACTAAGTATTTTATTTGTATGCTGTTAGTGTATTTTATAAAATAATCATTCTTGTGAAATAGAAATTCATGAAAATTCAGAGAGGTAGATGTTAAGGACTGACAAAAGCAGAAGTTTGTATAGTATGACACATGTTATAGGGTAAGCTTTTTGTACAGGCTTCAGATGTAGCTCTCTGACTATTCACCAGTTCAAGAAAAGCGGTTTAGAACACCTTCAGAATTCATTTTACTACAAAAAGGAACAAGCTTTCTGGGGTCTGAAGGGATTGGTACTTGAAGATACTCCAGTCAGCAGGAGGTCAGCATTCTGCAGACAGAATTGTTTCACATCTGCAGCTGCCTGGGAAACCTTCATGCGGTTGAGCCCGGCCTCCAGCCGGAGCTGTTGAACCACTTTCTTCATAGCGGTGACACGGGAGGAACCAGACATGGTGCACGCGAGGGCCGGGCAGATTGGTCGGTAGCGGGTCACGGGTCTGCGGGGGCCAGATGGCGGGGCAGCCAGAAAATAACTTTAAAAATGAAATTGAAAATGTTGCCCAAAATGATGACTCTGTCACACCATGGTTGCATGGATTCCCGCTAGGAGTCTGATAAGAGGTCACCCAAAAAGATGCTGGAATTAGCTTTTACTGACTGTGATTGACTTGCTTTTTATTTATTTTTATTTTTATTGGTTAAAGTATTACATATGTCTCCTTTTTCCCCGATTGACACTCCCCCAACCACTCCCTCTCCCCAGTAGACTTGCTTTTTAGTAGCCCTTTGTTAATAGTCATCCTGAAGACTAATAAAAAATTAATACCACTCAGGGACAGGAGTAGGTGGTTAGGGAACAGAAGTGGTCGGGAAACTGGCCTACAAACACCAAACAGAGGGCAGGACAGATGAGCACATCTCAGGATGGAGAGGCATAAAGAACGGTTTCTCCAGGGATGAGGGTTTGGACCCATGTTGTTAAGGATCTTTATATAAGAAGGTGTTCGCAGTGAAATCATGAAGTTGTTGATTGGCCAGAAGTTTCCAGTGGTGCGGGAGTCCAGCAGCCGTGTCTGGAGTGCAAAGCAGTGTTACAGCCCTGCACACGTGGCTAGAAAAGTGGCAGCTCTTTTGCCAATAACAGGTGTAGAGACCAAAGGTTCTAATTGCGTGTCTGAAATAGAGGGCTCGGAGTCACGGTGGATCACTTACTCAGAACATCAGTCAGCATTCTGCTGGAGTCTGAATGTGCAATAGAATTGTTGCATATTAATAAGAGAAATAGCACAGAATAGAAAGCTCTATTTATGTAAAACTGTGACCTATCAAATGTACCAATTTCTGAAGTGCTAATGTAAAGGACTACCCTGAACACCAGAGAGATACAGATTTTGGAACAAATTAAAGTACTATTTAATCCGGCAAATTATGTATTTGTGAGAATTTTTTTCCAGCTTGATTGAGATACAATTGATGTAGGACATTGTGTAAGTTTAAGGTATGCAATGTAATGATGTGACATAAGTACATACAGTGGGGCCTTGACTTACGAGTTTAATTCATTCCGAGACCGAGCTCGTTAACTCAAATTACTCTATCAACTCAATGCAAAAAATCGGCTGAGAGACAGCTGGTATCTCAAAAAACTCGTTAGTCGGGACACTCGTAAGTCAAAGCCCCACTGTATTGCGAAATGATTACCGCAGTAAGGTTAGTTAGTTAATACACCCATTGTATTACTCAGCGCCCCCTGGAAATTAATTTTTTTTAAATTTTAATAGCAATTAAACAGAAAGTTATATGTATTAATGTTTCTACCTTTTTCGTAAAATATAGTAAAGAAAGGTGTAAATTAGAAACATTGAAGTTTGAAATTATGAAACTATTTATTGAACTCAGAATAGAAAGGTAATACAAAAAAAGTTAAAACAAATGCACCTGTGGCCATCACCGCCCACCCTGGGTCGCTGCAGCGCCCACCAGGGGGCGGTAGCGCCCACTTTGGGAATCACTGGTCTATTCTCTTAGCAACTTTTAAGTATACAGCATAGTATCATTAACTGCATTCTCCATGCTGTATATTAGATCCCCAGACATAAAACTAGAAGTTGGTTCTCTTTGACAACCTGTACCTATTTCCCTCAAGCCCAGCTTCTGGAAGCCACCAATCTACTCTTTGAGTTGCCTTTTTTTTTTTTTTTAATTGCTTAAAGTATTACAAAGGGTATTACATATGTGTCCTTTTTTCCCCCCTGCCCTTGACA